GATATATTTTTAAAATACTGTGAAAAATAACTTCCAAACCTAAAAAATCATGTAATTAAAATTATTGTGTAAGAAACTTTCTTAAATTTCTTTAAAAGCATAAAGTTTAATTTGGAGTGATGTGAGTGGTGGTTGTTCCTAAACTTCGAGTTTCAGCTTTCATCTGGGCATGTTTTGTTTAAAATTCGGGGGCGAGTTCAGATCAAATAGGACAGATCAGCAACAACGTCAATGCTTGATCAACTTGTTGATTAAATATAAATAATTGAGATTCTCAATAATGCTCCCCATCGTGAGACCCTCTTCTATTGGAAGAAGAAGAAGAAGAAGAATAATAAACATATCATCGTTGACGTTAATTTTTGTTTCCTTTTATCATACTTCTTTTATTTATTGCTAGCCGTTCTGCTTGCTTGCTTCTGAAATATTCTACCATCTCTTAATTTTATGTATATTTGCTTCGGACTATCCTTCGTCGAATATACAATTCGTTTTATGGCTGAACTATATTCTAGTCTTCGCATGCATCTCAATTCTTTTCATATTTTCTCCCAATCTTTCCTTGCAAAAACCCCATACATGTTATATTATTTCACAAACTATATATAAATATTCAAGAAAAATATAAATATGAGATTGATATTTGAAAAATTAAATTAAATGAGTCAATGGAACATCACATAATCTACATAGGGACTAATATAATTTATCCTAGTCTTATCACTGTCTATAATTTCTGCATGAGTTTTACCTTAAAATGGGCTTGATATTAGTATGGGATAGCGAGCTCTGCCCATAGTCCTCTGTGAGAAGGCCCATATTACTTGTCCGAATGTGGATTGTTCATTTATTGTATTCAAGTGGGTCGGATCCAGTAGTTTGCGTACACCCACAAGGTGTATCTCAACTCGTTCACTCTCCAAATCATCGTCGTTCTTATTTGCACTTTTGAGAAGGTACTTTTTTTTTTAATTTTTATTTTGCAGACCCAATATTTTGATTCCAAGCTTTAATCGAAATTGACTATTGCATTGACCAATAGAAACAAAAAACGACACCTTTTCTGAAGTTTTCGTGCAGTAGTTTCATCTCAATGGCCAAAAATTGCCACACCATGCTATTTACTTGATTGATTGATGTTTTGATGGATATCATTGCATTGATAACATTGGAATTAAGATTGTTGGCATGTAGATGACAACACTTTTGTCACATATTATGCAGTTTTAATGCCACATTGATGCTTGAAACCTTACGAGGAAAAAGAATGATGTTTGTTGGTGATTCTTTGAACCGGGGTCAATATGTTTCCATGGTCTGTCTTCTCCACCGACTTATCCCTGAAGACCAAAAATCCATGGAAACATTCGGTTCTTTAACAGTCTTCACTGCCAAGGTGAATTTAATTAATTTTCTTCTTGAATTTGCTTCACATCACCTGTTTTTATATATATGAAACTTGTACACAGAAAGTAACTTCGTTTACGTTTGAACAGGAATACAATGCAACAATTGAGTTCTACTGGGCACCATTTCTCCTTGAATCAAACTCGGATGATGCTGTCATTCATAGAGTATCGGATAGAATTGTGAGGAGAGGTTCAATCAATAAACATGGGAAAAATTGGAAAGGCGCTGATATTATAGTCTTCAATACTTACCTATGGTGGATGACTGGCTTCGACATAAAAATCTTGTAAATACTTGCTTTTCACTCATGATTTGTCACAGTTTTCTTGGTTGTAGCTTGTATTAGCTTGAAGAATTGAAGTCTAACAGCTTATGTTTTTCAGGCAAGGGTCATTCGAAGATGAAACAAAAGATATCATAGAGGTGTCACCCGAGACTGCGTATCGTATGGCAATGAAAAGCATGCTGAGATGGGTGAGAAAGAATATGAACCGTAAGAAAACAAGGGTCTTTTTCACCAGCATGTCACCTACTCATCAAAAGTGAGCAGACTGTCTCTATTCCATTGTCTGATTTTGTTGTGTTATGCACCAAATTGATTCTGTTTAGACAAACCAACAAAGATGAGAGAATATGACAACATATAAAAGTACACTGGTTTAGCTTATCTAGACAGGGGACTGACATTTTAAGTACTTGGGCAGGAGCATAGACTGGGGAGGCGAACCGGGTCACAGCTGTTACAACGAAACAACTCTGGTTGACAATGCCACATACTGGGGATCGGATTGCAAGAGAAGCATAATGGAAGTAATCGGAGATGAATTTAGCAGATCAAGATTCCCCATCACATTTCTCAACATCACACTACTCTCAAATTACCGCAAAGATGCGCATACCTCGATATACAAGAAGCAATGGAGTCCATTGACTCCTGAAAAAATTGCTAATCCTGTTAGCTATGCAGATTGTGTGCATTGGTGTTTGCCTGGCCTTCAGGATACCTGGAATGAACTCTTATTTGCCAAGCTGTTCTATCCATAACACATACACTAGCAAGTCGTGAATCCTCCTTTTTGTTTCCAGTGGGAATATATGATGATGGTACAGAGGAGCGATTTTTGGAAATTGTGATGCATGGGAAAGTGGAAAAGATAAGAAAAATGTAAAAAAGATTAAGGATGAGCATGTGTATAATATCGTTGTCAAAGAAAATTCAAGAACAATTGAATTGATTTGTTCAAATTGCGGAACTAAATTCTTGTATTTTAAAATTATACTCTGCATCTTGAAATTATAATGGAATTCCCAAAATGTAGATTAACATTATTATCCATCATTGATCATCCCTCTAATGCCTCTAAACCCAACTCACACTAGGCTTCTCCCAACTCTCCAACACCAAGCATTCAACCTCCCCCGTACTATTTCAATCGACCCCACATCAGTAAGAGCTAGTCTACTGGACTGGACATAGGATATCGTTAACTCGATGGTGAGTACCATCTCCATTTCGAAAGCATTTGCATTCCTCCTATAATCTTCACTCTCTATTCCAAAATTCGAATTCGATCATAGATATGATTCATGCTTTATATTTTACTATTAATTTTAAATCAATGAATTAGATTGCATGGGGGGTGATTAGTAAAGTTATTGTCCTTATATATATATATATATATATATAGAATTGTGTTTACATATTATGAATTTAATCATTTAGATTTTAGAAACCTATATAGCCTAACATAAAGAAATGAGAAGATCAATCCTACCCGTTTCAAAAGGATCTGATAAGATCAGAAGGATAAAAAAACAAGAATGACACCCTCAAAATGAGAAATCACCCACAAGAATGACATTCCTTGCCTTTTGGAATCTCCTCCTCCAAAAATCTTTTGACTCTTGAGGTTTTTCCGAGCTTACATTTAGTTTATTTTCTAGCTATATTATCTTCTTTCTTTTTTTAGTTTCTATTATAAGTTAAATCAAAATTTTAAAGAAGCCATGGTTTTTATTGTTTTTCTTTGTCTGAAAATGGATCACTGTGAAAGTAGCCATAATTTCACTGTGAAAAGGAATTAAAACAAATTTCTAAAGCGTGGTGAAACCAGCGTACGTTAGCCCATACTAACAAGAACTTTCTTTGTTGCGCAGGGGGTCACATTAACCCCTCAGTGACATTTGGGCTTTTCCTGGCCAGGAAGGTCTCTTTGATCCGGGCTGTGATGTTCTTGATGGCTCAATACTCTGTAGCTCGAGAAACCCAAAAAACAATATCGAAAACTATATATATATATATATCTGTGGCGCCAATTTAAAATGTTTGTTGCTCCAATAAAGCTGGAAAAAAAGCCCATCAAGCGCAACCAAAAACAATTTTATTGTGCAAATTACATTACTGCAGTAAAAAGAATTAATGAATTAATGTACTATTTACAAAAAAAAATTATTTTGATGTGGTAGTTCTCTAATTAATTTTATTGATAATGCTATTTTTTTAAAAATATAGATTTTTACAAATTCTCCAAAACATTATTTTTCTACTATTTACTTCTTCTCTCTCTCTCTCTCTCTCTCTCTCTTTTTAGAAAAATCGTATAATGAAAAGTAACCAATGTTGTGCAAGTAGCACAATCAAAGTTGCCTTGGTATGGGATTAAAGAAATGATAATATTTATTATAAAAGTAAACAGTACACGAGTAATATTTAAAAACATAAAAATGAACTTTTAGCTGTAATTGCTTGGTGCGAGGTTAAAAATTGAGTGTGTTAATGGTGGTTTTGGTTAAAAATTAAATAATGTATTATAGAAATTTTCATTGACGAAATGCAATTAAAAGAGGAAAAAATGGATTGCAATTTTTTATATATAAATTATAAGTTTGAGAAAGATCAGGAATTCATTTTTCCTGGAATTCACTTTTCTGAAATTTATTTTTTTCAAAATTCACTTTCTAAAAGGAAATAACTTTTCTGTAAATAAACGAGGCCTGAGCTTTTTAATAACAAAAAAAGGCAAGATAAACTAAGCTTTCCCCTGGAAATTTTTTACCCTCTCTCTCTCTCTCTCTCCAGAGCTAAGATTTATCCCGAACTTGTACTGCTTGAGGAGCAATTTTAATCCGCTTTGTGATTTTTTGGATTTTAAATTTCTCTATTCAAGTTGGTCTGTAAACACCACCGATGATCTGGTTGTAGAATTTGCGAAAAACATTCATATTCCATCAATTTTTCTTGGATTGGTATTCAAAACAATAACGTGAAAAACAGACATGCTTACCAGGTAAATTAACACCCGAGTGTTATAGCTGTATTCTAATCACTATCTGAAAATTGGTAAAAATCAACGAAAACATGGATGAAATATATCTAGTTGCAATTTACAGATCGAGAGTTTTTATCAATAATTTTTTAAGGAAATGGTGATAAAATAAAAAATAAATAAAAATTTGTCGGTAATTTTGTAAAAATCTTCTACGAATTGCAGGTGAAAATCTCGATGTAAATTTTTGACCCGTGTTTTTTTTTTTTGCAGATGAAAAATATTTTTACAAAAATTTGATTTCTTTTTCCCCTTTAAAACCCTTCTCAACTCTCTGAATCCTCTCTTGTAACTATTGCAAAAATGTTTCTTTCTTCCTTTATTTTTTGTTTTGATCGTAGATTGGTATTGGTTTTTCTTCCGGGGAGAATGGGACCGTAACTGGCCTTTCTTTGGCGGCTTTGCCATCACTGGCACTCTTATCACCAGATTCTCTATCATCCTCACCGGTAACCCCTTTCCTTCCTTCTCTCTTATGATCTTAGACATGACCTATATTAATCTTTTTCAATTAAGCTATTTTACTTAATCGATTACAATTATGTGGAGCAGAATATATATAAATGTTATAAAATCTGATTATTTGTGATTGGGGTATAAATAACTGAAGAGTAATGTAGTTAAAATTTCTACAGAATCAACTAGATATTTGTGTTTTTGCAGAGTAGGATGCGAAGAATTCCCCATTTGTGCAGAGGCACAAGAAGTAAGTGTGCTTGAAACCCTAGATTTTGATATTGCCAGTTCATTTCCTTTCTTTGGATTAAATTTTAATGATAGATGTAGCTCTACTGTGTAGATTCCAACATTCTTAATTGGGGCATTGTTAGTCAAAGTTTGCTCGATGCATAATTAAGAGGTGGATAAATATCGATTGTTCATGTTTAAGTCGATTGACTCCAAGTTGTTCCGTGATACTTCTAACTTTCGGAAAAAAAGTTTTGATATTGTTTAGTGTCCACCACTGCTGACTTGAGCAGGCATTATGAAAGCTGCCATTGCCATCTGAACTGAAATTGATTGGTTTGGTTAGTTGAGATATTGTATGCCTGAATTAATGCTGGGGTGTTCTGGTACCTAATGGGTGTTGATTGGCAGATGACAACAACAATATCAATTGAAGATGTTCATTGGGAGGTGAAATATGGAAAGCATTATTGGGGCATGCGAATATGATCAAATTCCATGATGCTTTTGAGGATGAAAACAATGTCTATGTTGTCATGGAGTAGGTATATATCTTACTCAGAGTTAACCTTTCATACAAATATGATCAAATTCCATGAATGGATTGCGGCTTGCTTTCTATGCCACTACAAAATTTCAAAGTAGTTCTGAAGTTTTTTTTGTAAATATTTGTTATTGTCAGATTATGTGAAGATGGAGAACTAATGGACAAGATTTTATCAAGGTATTAAAGGAGAAGGACTGCTTCTGCTCCCTCTGATACTTCAGATATTTTTAGTTGCTTTTTAGCTTTGACTCCATACTTTTTGATGAGGATGCTCCAATGAGGATTACTGATTTTGGTCTATCTTATTTTGTTAGGCCAGGTAACATTTTCTTGCTGATAAGCTCATCTCTGTGAAATTGTCCTAATGTTCGTTGTGAGATTGATTTTGTTTGACTTGATAACCTCACATATAAAGCATTTTGATTGCTGCACTCGAAGGCTCAAAATTGAACTTGTCTCCGGAAACTCTGTGAGATGCAGATTTCTCTTCTTGTTTTTTTTTCTTTTTTTTTTTTAGATTTTGGTCAGGAATAAAGATTTGCAATAACTAGATCCAACAAGAAAGTAGTAATTATAGGTGCCTTCAATCAAGCTTTTTGACAAAGTAAAAATGAAAGTTGCTCACCTCTAGTGCTAGAAAAACAAACCTAGAACTAACCCTCGCTACATTCTAATAATGCTTACCATACCTTCACAGGTGAATTTGGAAATGTGCGCTCCTGGTGCCAGATCAATGCTCTCTTTGAAGATTTTTTGTTCGAGTCACTTTATGGTTATATAGATTAATTACTCGTGGGAAATCAGGTTTTGTTTAGTCAAAACGATCTCATTGCATGCCCCACTGCAGCTGGCCCCTGCAATGTAACATGCAAGTGTGGAAATAAGTGCAACTTATTGTTCTATGTCCAATTAGCAATCATTTTCTTCTATGTTCTGTTGTTCAGTAGAAAACTTGATTTGAAAGGCTAAGTTGTGTAGGTATAAAAAGCATACACTGGATTTGGGTCTGTGAAACCAAAACTGTTTATGTTTCATTGTTTTCTTTGAATTTTGATCGTTTAGCACCTAGCTTAATAACTCATAAACAAAGGGAAATGGTAAATGGTTGTAGAATGATGAACTGACTTCCTTTTATTTTGGCCTCCAGGCGGTCTCTTTGCTCAGAAGTACATCCTAATTGCTATTGTTGGCATATCATTGATCTTATTGATGTACTGCGGATGCTTTCTCGGTGCTTTCTTTTGCAAGACGTGGATAACTGGTCCAGTGAAGGTAATGTGCTGGCAAGTGGAGGAAATAAAGCTTTTTGAAAAACCATGGCATCATTATTTTATTTATTTTGGTGGGGTGGGTTATTGGTTACCGAGCTGAATTTTCCCAGTGTACTAAAGAAACAGTGCAGTTGAATGAAATAAATATAGCTAACATTAATTAGGTTATATTTTAATGCTCCTGCTATTCAATTTTTCTGACAAACAACCACTGCATTCATATTAAATTAATTTGTTTCCTTTTTCTCCAAGAGAAGTTATTTTCCGTGTGACGTAATATCACGAGGATACGGTTATGAATTAAATAGACATGTTAAGGTTGATGAAGAAGTCTTGACATGTATAACACGTAATTTGACTCGGACTTGTATAATTTTTATTCAAATCTAGTCACGAGGTTTTATTGACACGGATATACAGGAAGGTAGCTAATCGTAACAAATCAAGATCGAAAAATGTTTTAAGTGTTTTTTAAATTAATTTTAGATTTTGATTATTTTTCCTTTTTAGTTTTGAATTGCTTTGGTAGGTCTTTTTTTTGCTTAAATATGAATAATTAATGTTTTGTTTTTTTCATGATAATTGATGAATTATTGACTTTCTTAAATATATTATATTTTCTCAACAAATTTCTTTGTATTCAAAGATTATATTCCTTAAAATTCTAGTTTGAAATTTTTTTCTTCTTGAAATTAATAAGTTTTAAGTTTTAAAAATGATTTTTAATAAATAAAAAATAATTTTTTAAATAATGTTTTTTTTTTAAATAATCGCTATTATTAGAATACCGATTACAATACTGATATCGTTTCATGAGTCCCCTTGGGAAATTTTCCTATGCACAGTACTCCTGGATTTATGTGGATGCTTGGTAATACAACAACACTCATGCACACGATAACCCATGGGACAAGTTAAGTTTTTATTGGTCTGATTAATTAAAAATCAAACTATCGTGTAAAACTAATTGGATGGTTTGTCTTTTTACCCCTCCACAGTATCCGATACAAATTGGAGGGACTTTCTGCACCTGAAGTCGAAAACTAACGAAGACAGGTAAGAGTTCCGACAGCCAAATCGGGGGAAAATAGCTTAAAACATGATAATCTGGGTTTACAGGGCGGCTTAATAAGAAAATTTAACCCTGTGAGGTCAATTCACGGTGGACAAACAATTGGGTGGCTTTGATTTGTTTTGATACGGGAACAAAGGGCGGCCGGTGTACAATAAAAAGCCTCCTTGCCCACTTGCACGCCAACTTGCGGAACCAAACTCTCAGCCACAACACGTGGTTCACAGAGACAGAATATAAAACGGAGCAAAATCTACAAGTTGCCTGTGTTTCTAGTAAAAAGTTAACAGGAGTACATGAGTTTTTTATGTGTTTTTTTATTTATAAATATATTAAAAAAATATTTTTTTTATTTTTTAAAATTTATTTTAGATATCATCACATTCAAGTAATTCAAAAAATAACTTAAAAAAAAAGGAACATGTTAGAAAATCATTGTCAAACACCTGATAAGTATAATTAAAACCAACTTGCACAGCACCAGTTGATTCTCCTATTAAAAAAGAAGAAGAAGAAGAGTATTTTAAACCTATAAAGCTCTCCGTCCAAGACATTGCCAATGAGGAAAATTCCCAGTTATGGTTTTTAAATTAAGAGGTTGAACTGTTCTGATTTCTTTGTAATGTCCAGCTTAAAGGGGTAAGAAGTTTCCAGGAAAAAAATAAAATATCACTGCCGACTGGAATGAGACCTACAGCCATAGCTAGTACAATAATGGCGTTAAAAACAGGATACAGTGCCGATAGTGTATCGGTGCATGGGCTCGAGGATAAAGAAATGAAAAAAGAGAGAGAGAGAGAGATAGAGAACATAGTCGTACAGCAACCTCTCTTTTTTTTTCTAATCCTAATCGCCACTGGTTAGCCTTTGCATCTCCTGGTCGTTGAAATAAAGCTTACCGTATCATCAATGTGGAGTAAACATGAAGTCGGAAGCCACGTTCGACACCTCCTTTCTGTGTATCGGCCTATGCAATCATGACTTGCAGCATGAGATTCATCATTCGGCATACTTATGTTACAGTGCTATTATTTGCATTTTGGTAATTGCCAGTAACTAGCGATTGTCCCCGGCAGGAATTCACTCATACTTTTCTCACAGAGCACAGATGAATTCCTAGACACGTTAAGCATTTTTTATTTACCATTGCAGTAAAAATGGAGACATCTTAGTTCAATTTATTATCCATTATTCCGAAAAAAAAATATAAATGGAAATGGAATCTATTGCCAAGCTCGTGCAAACTAGGGTTCATAGAAATATAGATCTAATTCTCTTAGCATCATATTTCTTGATAGAAAGAAAACAAATTAATTAATAAAGTGTTTGTTTCAAAAAAAATAATTTTCAAAATAATTTTTAAAATTTATCGTATTTGTTTATTATTAAAAAAATATTTATTTATTATTAGAAAATATAGCACTTTTCAACCAAAGAAATATTTGGTTTGGTTTGAAAAAAATTATTTATATTATATTTTAGGCATAAAATACATTACAAAAGTTACTAAAAAAATCAAAAATATTTTATTATGTATTAATTATATCAAATTTAATCATGAATTGTTATTTTTTTTTTCAATCTCATCCTTTAAAATTTATTTTTTATACTATCTTCGGCATTTTTTTTCATTGTTATTTATTCTTTTGTGATTTTTTAATTAAATTTCTTTATTTATTAAATTTGACAATTAATTTTTATTACTATATATTTTATTTAAAATAATTTATAAAATTAATTCTTTTTTTCAATTCCATCCCTCTTATTTAATCTTCATTTTTCTATTTCAAATCATTCATAAAATTAGATTTTTCTGGTTTATTTTTTATAATATAGCCAATCATAAAATAATTTACTTTACAAAAATCTCCTAAATTGCTTTCAAAATATAAACTAGTTTCCATTAAACTAACAGGCCCGTAAATTATCTCTAAACTAGTTTCCATTAAACTAACAGGCCCAAAAAAATACAACAAGGAAGAGGGGCGATCGAAAAATAAAGTAAACTACAGACGATATATTCACAGCTATTGATAGTCCTGGTACCCGTAAATTTATATATTCAATTAAGAGGCACAAAATCCCTCCCCTCATTGAACAAAAAAACAAATGAAGAAAAAAAGAGAGAGAAAGAAGTGAAAAAAGGGCACAATACAGGGTTTATAAATTCACTATGATTATGTGCTCCTGTAGTAGTAATTAATTATCTCGAAGGGAAACAAAGTTGACATGTACAACATCAAAATATACCATCACCTTCGAGCGCCGTTCACCGGTCTATGAATTTCCAATAAGGGCATCGATCAAGAGTCCATGATGATCACCAATCCACCCCAAATCGAAAACAAAAAAATAATAATTCAAGAGTCTCAATCAAAACAAACACTCATGATGATGTAGCAATCTGGACATTCCTCGCCATTTTCTCAGCAATCTGAGCCAAAGATTGTAGGTTGCACCGTACAATTGTCTCAACAAAACTGCAGGTGTCCTCTTTAGTATTACCAGCTGGTACATCTACGACGTATGATTCAACGACAACTGTCCCTTTCCCATTTGGAGAAGCATGAAGCGTGGTAACAGACCGGTAGTTATTTAGCCTGTGAACGCCGCCGACCACACTAAAGCTCAGAACATGTTGTTCATCGTCAAGAATTTCAAGCCTCTCCGTGCTTGATGCTGCAGGGAGGCCAGACACCACGTGTACCTCCCTGACGGAACCAACGTTTCCGTCTCCGTCGATGACATGACAGCTCTTAACAAAATGCTTGTAAGCCTGGGGGTTATCAAAACGACGGACTACCGACCAAACGGTGGAGACTGGTGCATTGATGCTCTTGACCACCACGGAGCAGCACTGGTTGGGCCCCACTAAACGCGTGTGGTGGCAAGAAACGTATTCAGGCACCGGAGCGTCCCATGTCAGCGGGACCCGCCATGTGTTCTCGGTTGTTTGTGTTTGTTTGTGGCAGGCAAGGGTGGTTGTTGTGGCGGGGATGGCGGCTCTCTGGAGCTGTAGTGACGCAGGCATTTTTATCTCTCCGGGATTTTTGTTATTACCGTATTTTTTGCTTGGTTTTATAAAGATTGTGTAGGCTTAAGATTCATTCATGGATATATATGCATAGCTATAGAAGAGGGGATTGGGATTTTAAGTGATTTTGGCTGCCCACTTGGATTAGTTTGATGTTTTATGGGAGAGATTTAGTCTGGTGTGAGAAATATTTTGAGGGTGATATTATCAAGTAGCATATGCAAAGACTATGCAAGTTGATGCTCAACTTGCAACTTCTTTGGACTTTGTTTGGGGATATTATCCCATCATTTATTTCAAAACTACAAAATTGCCACTTTGTTCATGTTCTTTGTTTGGTGGGTGATTGATACAAATGTATACAGTTACCTGTCGTTTTCCGATTTCAGGTTTGCCAACTTCTCTTGCAAATTAACCAAAAATTAATTGAAGGGAGTTTTAATTTCTCTGCAGAGGGGCCATAGAATTTTAATTTGGTAATAGTAGACTCCTAGGCAATATCTACAAGCCTACAACTCCCAAATTTTGGGACACAGACTATTGCATCCTGGCAACGAAGTTTGTCTGGCTTGTTTGTAATTGTGTTTTAAATGGTATTTTAAAAAAAATTATAATTTTTTTATTTTTTTGAAATATTAATATTTTGATAGATTGATATTAAAAATAATTTAAAAAAATATAATTTTAATATATTTGTAAAGAAAAACTACTTTAAAAATTACTTGATTTGCTCACA